GATTTATCTAAATAATACAACAAAAGTACAGTGATTTATCTAAACAATACAACAAAAGTACAGTGATTTATCTAAATAATACAACAAAAGTACAGTGATTTATCTAAACAATACAACAAAAGTACAGTGATTTATCTAAATAATACAACAGAAGTCAAGTGATTTATCTAAATAATACAACAAAAGTCAAGTGATATATCTAAATAATACAACAAAAGTAGAGTGATTTATCTAAATAATACAACAAAAGTACAGTGATGTATCTAAATAATATAACAAAAGTACAGTGATTTATCTAAATAATACAACAAAAGTACAGTGATTTATCTAAATAATACAACAAAAGTCAAGTGATATACACCAACGTTGTCCACTGGATAGTAACAAATGTTAAGTTTGTATTAATTTCATTCTGGAACTTTGATTATATGTAATTTTCGTGAACTAGAGGTTCGCCAATATATTTGTTTTTGACGCGAATGTCGTAGAATACAAATTTACACAAAGTTTAAATAGTTGTTTTTTAAAAATGATTCTGTAAAATCCTCGTTTAGTAAAAATTGGACATTAACTAGAATATAGTTGTGTGTAGATTCACAGAGCTTTGTTAGCATGTGAAAGTGTGCTAGTTGCTATAATATTTCAGTTATATTATACTCGGTTTATTCGTTTCTTCGAGATGTAAGATCAAATATCACCGCAATATGAATTAAAGTTTTTAAGTAGAACTATAAATTAGTCATGTTTTAACTTTTTTATGACGTGAAGATTTTCAAAGATGGAATAAAATTAGTCCTTTTTTTTTTTAGTTGATGCTTTGCTGAGCAAAATCATTCCAAAATTCATATTTCTAATTAGCCCATACGTGATTGGATAAAACAAATAGTTAAAAGGAATGACTTTTCATTACTTCGTATTTTTATGTATTAACACAGAGTTGATGTATTTTTATGTATTAACACAGAGTTGATGTATTTTTATGTATTAACACAGAGTTGATGTATTTTTATGTATTAACACAGAGTTGATGTATTTTTATGTATTAACACAGAGTTGATGTATTTTTTATGTATTAACACAGAGTTGATGTATTTTTATGTATTAACACAGAGTTGATGTATTTCGCCACCGTTATTGAAAAGCACGAGGCTTAATATATCTGTTTTATTTCTTGAAATAAATATGAATTTTTGTTTATTATATTGTTGTTACTGTATTTAGAGTAAAAGCAATGTTTCAGCGTTTGTAGGCTAAAATTGATGCAATAAAAACGCCCACCAATAACGTGTTGTTAACCGAATGACATCACGTTGACGTATGACGTAATGTGCTTGTTGTAGAAACTGAACGGAGGGACTATATGAGTAGTATGCCACCAACCTTGTTTATTCACGTTGTCTGAGAAGTCAGCAAATAAGGCCAACGTTTCCACTGGTAGCTTTCCGCTGTCAGGCTCACAGGGTATTCTGGATTCTGAGTCAACTGGTTTTTCTGATCATTTGGAATTAAAATAGAATCAGTTCACGCAGGTAAGTCTTTTTAAAATAACCAAACTTATAACCCTTTTTTTCATTTCTTAGTGTATTGCTGAGAAAAGTCTTTATCTTATATTAAATCGTTCCCGTTAAC